CCGAGGATCCGCAATGTGATAAAAAGGACTGAATGGACAATGCAGTGCAAGTAGAATCTCAACGAGCAATGTGCATTCTCATACATACAAAATGGTGCTGAATAGCGCAGTGGAAGATTTAGATACAAGTCCTGACCTGACTGGGACTGACCTCATTCACGTAGCAAAAGATAGCGAAGCAGAATGCCAGAATGCTAATGACTAGCCCAATCAATGTTTGAATGCAGACCAAACATACATCGTATCCATCACCAAGTGTGAAGGAGCCTGGCGCTGTACACAGGAAGAAAGCGCCAGGTCCAGACATACACAGACGAAGAGGAGGGAATCAGACGAAAGGAGGGAGAGAGATGGGAATGTCGTCAACACCAAGTCTTGGTCACAAGTCCCAAATAATCCCTCGTTGTAATGTCTGAAGTCCAAAAGTCGAGTTTGGATCCGATGTCACCAAGCTCTGTCTCTCTTCTCTCGTAGTCTGCAGATGCAGTGAAGTCAGATGATGAGAGGGGGAGAAGGAGATGGTGGACTGAGAAGAGGAAGAAGGAGAACTCTCTCTCTCTGTTACGAGCCAGATACTAACCTGTGATGTTGGCGCTGTGCTGCAGGTACCTCGAAGACGAAGCTGGAGCAACGGGGCTGCAGGTGAGTACCCAAGGCCTCCGCCCAATCTCTCTCTCTCTCTAGTGCTATCCTAGCTATGGCGCCCAGCGCTGGAGACTACAGCTACCTACTGCGCCCAGCGCTGAAGACTAAAGGCTAACGCTACTACTACTCCCTCTAGCGCTCCCTCCAGAGTGCTGCTCCCGAATCCTGAAGACTACAACTGCCTCGTGCCTACTTGTGAAGTGCATGGGAAGTCCCTATGTACTTTCTCGGCCTGCCTCCTGACTGCCTGAAGGGCGAGCCAGGCCGAGGAGGCTGCTCTTGCCAATGCCGAAGTGTGCCAGGGGCTGGCGCTGCAGCAGCTGCTGAGGCTGGCATGGGGAACAGGATAAGAATAGCCTGTTCCCGAAACCCTGGTTCGGTGCCTGAGTTTCAGGGCCGGTCGTTCTGATGAACGACCGAAAATGGCCCTTCGTTTCAGGCTAAAAAGGCTGTTGCCATTTTTAGTCTGAAACGACACAGGGACTGTAGGCCCCTGTTTTCAGGCTTTCGGGCCGAACAGTCACGGGGCTTGTAGGCCCTGGTTTTCAGGCTTTAAGCCTGAATTTCAGGCTTTTAGCCTGAGGGACGCAGGGCCTGGAAAATGGCCCTCGTGTGCAGGCGCAGCATGTAACATATGTGAGAGAGGTCAGTTCTTGTTCTGGTCTGCACCTTTACGGTATGCGACACTACTGCTTTGGCGGCATCGAGGCAAAGGTCGTTTTGGGTTTGTGGCCTGTATCAGAGGATTACACCGATCGTTTGATTCTATCTGTACTATCAGTGCTACGAGTCACGTGTGGTGTGCTTTTTTGCATGCACACGTGCAATGTACTGTACTTTGATGAGTGTTTTGACTCAACATAGACCTAGATCTCGCTCATAGTACTCCTCTGAAATGTCTCACTCATAGCAGATCGACAGATATACAAAAAAAAAAAAAAAAAAAAAGGGGGGGGGTGATCCTCTTCTTTTATTTTTTATTTTTATTTCATTCTGTTGATTAGGAACGGGGGGAAAGTACAGTTTGGTTGGTTACCTTTCTGCGTTTCCCTCCCACCCAGCCCTTTGTCTGCATCCCCGGTTTGGAAAGTGCCATGTCAGCAGCAGTGCCACATCAGCAGCAGTGCCACATCAGCAGTGCCACATCAGCAGTGCCACAACAGCAGTGCCACGACAGCAGCAGTGACATGTCAGCAGCAGTGCCATGTCAGCAGCAGTGCCACATCAGCAGCAGTGCCACGTCAGCGGCTGTGCCATGTCAGCAGGGGCCCGCCACAGTGACGGGTTCATCGTCGGGCATGCCAGGTCAATTGACCAACGAGTCCATTGACGAATACCATCAGCGGGTTCTACCTCAGCTCGCAATGATTGAGGCTGAGGTACAGCGTCAGGCTGCCCGCTTACAGGCTGAAGCAGAGGCAGCAACTGAAAAGCAGCGACTTCAGGCCGCAGCTGAGGCAGATACCCAGGCACGCCGCAAGGAGGCCCAGGATCTGCTACAACGGCACGAAGCCGCCAGCATCGAAAGGCTCAAGTTCTGGCATTTTGAACCAGCTGAGGACGACGATGACGCGACACCAGAAGAGCAGCACAAGGAGTTCCTCTCCAAACTTGTGACCCTGTTGGTTTACACTTGTAACCACCTGCAGTCCGAGTAAGAGAAACAACACCAGGAACTGGCGAAACAACACCAGGAACTAGCGAAACAGCACCAGGAACTGGCAAATCTCCGATAGACAGTGCAGAACCACAAGGATATGCATGAGGATGCTACACGAGCACTTCATTCCCGTGTACAGGACTTGGAGCAAGCCGCACCAAGACTAGACGCTGGCAAGTCCAGCAGTGCACCCTCAACCCGCCAATTGGAGGAACGAGTTGACCATGTAGTCGCAATGCTCGGTGACATCAGCACCTTCGCCGCACCAGCCACCATCAGCGAGCAGCTCAGCACCTTGCAGACCGAGCTCAGGCAGCTACACCAGCCGCACGATAACGATCGCAGCACTAGTACATCAAAGAACTACAAGATGCCAACGTTCCGGATCGAGAAATTTGATGACTATACGCATCAGGACCCAGTCGTCTGGTGGGACGGTTTTACAACGGAGCTTGGGATTCACGAGGTCCCCGAATACTTGTTCATCTCGGCGTTGTTCCTCAACGTCAAGGGCGGATGCCAGATCTGGCTCAGCCACATGGCAACCATCTATGGCGTCCAGGTCAACCATCTATACAAGAAGATCTCCTGGGAAGATCTGACGAGAGAATGGAAGAAGCGGTTCATCATTGACGACGCCCCAACGCTCGCCATTAACTGCCTCTTCACCATGACCCAAGGCAACACACCGACATGCGATTGGCTCACGGAATGGCAAAAGATCGTGGCAACACCCGATCTCGACCTGCCATTTTCGCATCTGCGTCGAGAGTTCTACAACCGGTCGTGTGTCGCCTTGAGCCTTGCACTCAGTGATCATGAGCAGTACACAACCTTTGCCGAAATCATCGGCAAGGCGCGAGAGATCATCAAGACCAATCGGGCTGCTGCACACGAGAAGTCGGCGTGGCAGCCAGCCTATGTGGAAAAGGGAAAATTTGGTCCAACTGAACAACATCGTAGAAGACCCGGCAGCCACCTCAACATCACGTGAGGGAGATCAGGTTTCCGCTGTCCAGCCACGAAGCAACAATCACTCCGGTGGAAAAGGGAAGGCGAAAACCGCATCGCTGGCCGAAAACAAACAGCCGGTACCATGGGTCAAGTTTAACTTGACCGAGGCCGAACATAAGTGGCGCAGCTGGTATGGTTGCTGTTATTGGTACAACAACACCAAGCACAAGACCTCCCAATGCCAGGATCAAGGCAAGGAGGATGTTCGACCTCGCATCAACTCGGGAAATTGAGTTGTGCGGGAGGTGAGATGACTCCACCTCTCACTCCGCCAGATTCAGCCACCTTGCTAGCGGCCTCCTACACATTTGGGGAGAATGCGGATGTCGCGAGTCCTTGGTTCACTTACGAGGATTACGCAGTCCACTTGATCCCCCCGTTGGACCAACCACTCCATGTGCAACAATCCACCGCATGCATGGTTTCATCACCATCGGCAACCGATTCGGCAGCTTCGTCGCCAAATTTTGCCGGGGATTCGACGTCATGGTCAAAACTTGAAGAACTCGACCCGTTGACGTTTGCGGACTTTCAATGGATGCCCCTTCCCCCGACCGGTCGATTGCCGAAACCGCATTGCAACGTGCTCATGGCACAATTGCGGGATTACTTGCACACTCAGTACCAGCTTCGTTGATCGACGTCAGAGTACAGGTTGTCGACCTTCACGACTATGTTGCGAAGATCGACCGCGAGTTCAAGACACAACGGTACGACGACATCGACGCGCCATTGTTGTACATACGCATTCAGATCGGAGAAGCGACCTGCAATGCTTTGATCGATTGCGGAGCCACTCACAACTATATCAGCCAAGACTTTATGGTACGCTGTGGGCTTGGGCCACGCGTTCTGAGGAAGTCGCAGCCCATGCAAGTCACGTTGGCCGACGGTCACATGCACAAGTCAATCGACTGATGGATTGATTCCGTCCCCGTGTACTTGCTCCGACTTATGAATGCGCGGACGAGGGAGAAGGTGGTGGACTTCAGCAACGGGAAATTGTTGCGGCCTCCCTCATCCTATCGCAAACCAGCAGCCTCGAAGACCCCCAGGAAGGCGCCCACGAAGAGACAATGCCAACCATCGTCGGAAGCACAAGGAAGCCAAATAGGACCCGGAGAAAAAGTGGTCCACCCCGTGCCGGCGCGAAGGTCCGATCCCATTCCGGAGAGCAAAGCTACACCGATCGAGGGACCGCTGCCGGGCGGAGGAGTCGAGACCGGCAGATCGCGGATACGTAGGAGCCATCCAGAGTCAACACCACCGCCGCCTCTCCTTCCCGACCTCAATCTCGATGGAGCCGGCTTGTCCGAACTAGCAGGAGCAGGAGGAGGAGTGGGAGGAGTATCATATCCCACATCCAGACCCCCCATCCTCGTAGGACCTTTCCGTTTACGCCAGCCACCCCAGGGTGCCCTGGTCATTGACCTTAGTAGTTCCTCCGAGCTGGACGGTCCACCCGACACGACGTCGAGTTCATGGTGGAACCAGCAACAATCAGGCTCAACGCGATCTAGGGGGCCCTGCGTCCTGATCCCGCATGGGAGCCGTTTTTGCAGCCTCCGTTTGAAGGTTGTGTAGCGGCCAGATTGGTGAGGACGGTCATCTATGAGGTCGGCAGTCAACCGAACACCATGTACCACTTCCTTGTCCTCGCGGTACTCAGGAGGGAGCGGAGGTTGTATACCGAAACCCATCTAGTGATGACGGGTCCCGGGAATTGCCCGGTGCGACGACATGTCGTATGGGCCATCGCAGATCTGGCGCCGCGTGTCCTATCACACGTGCCAGGGGCTTTTCTTTCCCCCTCCTTCGTCCAACACCACTTCAACGAAGTGGAGGCGCCGATGACTCCGGCTGCGCTAGCAGCCTTTCTTCCCCCTCTTCCTACCCCTCTCAACCCTGAGATCGACCACTTCCTCTGAACCTTTCCTTCTTCTTCTT